ATATATATATATATGTATGTATAAAGTATGATGTTAAAGCTAATCTAAATAAGAAGTTTTGGTGCTTTAGAATTGTGACTACGAGTGAGCGTGAAGTCCCATTTTAACAACACTTTCATGATGCGCACGCTGACCTTGTTGATGACTGACGACATGGTATTAGACAACGATTGAATGAAATATGCAAAAAAAAAAAAAAAAAAAAAAACAAGCCATTTGAAATAAAGTGTTTTTGAAAGAGCGTGTTTTTCATATGTGACAATTGAACAGACAGCCTCACTCACAGAGTGAGCCCCCAATGGGAATCAGTGTCACCGTTATCAAAAATTTTGGATTCGCAGGTGATCGTGTTGTTTTCCACACATCATAACAAACCCAGATCTAAAAATAAAAAAAAAAAAAAATCACCATTCAGATGTAAGAAGAACTTACCCTGCACCCCATCTGCTGATTCCTCTTGACCCGGTCCACTTCTCTCCACCGTAGACGTTGCCTCTGGAACAGAAATGTGGAATTCAATTTTCTTCGGTCCAGCAGGGTGGGGCTGCTCGAACACATCACAGGGCTGCAGCACAGGAGCGCTGGGAACAGAAGAGACAATCAGCAGCTTTAAAATGCATCCACAATAAAAAAAAAACCTGACTCCTGAGCGGCTTAAGGGTTTGGATATTATGCTCTGGTCAGCCGCGGATATTTCCCAGTTCACAACGCGAGACAGCCGCGGATATTTCCCAGTTCACAACACGAGAGAGAGACACAGAGGTGTGTGTATTTATAGTCCGGAAACCGAGTTTGTGTTCCATCATTAGCCGAGTGCATGTGAGGTGGAGAAACGCCGGGTCTCACAGCCACTCAAGGCTGTCTTCATGAAGACAGACTTACTGTCTGGAGGTTTGTGTTGCTTTTTTAGTCGTCTCTGAATACCGTCTGGGGCGCAAGCTTTGCATGAGGACTCTGACATGCGCAAGTGCTTTCGTCGTACCTCTGAGAGTCTGACTTGGGAGCAAAGAGAAGATCCTTGATCTTGGGCTTCTTTCTCTTTGAAACTGTCTTCGGTCTCATGGGTCTTTTGCATGCTTGGTTGACCAGGCCCATCAGACGAGCAATCCTGAAATAAAGTAAGCATAAAGAATACAGGAAAATATTCACCTTGGGACGTGAAAAGAGAGACAAAATATATAGACATTTTCCTCTGAGTCACATTCGCTCCTGGCCTTATAAGAACTTGTGAATGATACATTAACCCACCGGCTTGAACGGCAGACGCTGGATTAAAGGTGCACATTTCAGAAACAGTTCTGTTGACTCAATTGAATGAGAATAATGTAGTACATTTTAAAAAATATTAAATAAATCCTAATTTTATTTTGTTTTATTTATTTATTTTTTATACTTTTATTTTTATACTTTAAAATTTATCAGTAATTTTATTTGACATTTCAGGAGACCCCATGTGGAATCGCGACCCCGAGGTTGAAAACAATTAATTAACTTGTCAATATTTTGTCATTAATAAAAAAATTGGTTTTAGTTTGGGGTCTGATAGCGAAAATAAGAAATAGTATGTAAAGGTTTGGGGTCTGATAGCGAAAATAAGAAGAAATAGTATGTAAACCAGTGGGACCAAATGTGTTTGAACACAACAAATAAAAGCATGGGGCTGTGCTGCTGTAACGTCCAGCCTACCTCTCCTTGTCTTCGTCGTCTTCGCTCTCGTACTCGGACTCTTTCTCGCTCGAGAGCTCCATCTCCTCCTCCGGTAAAGGAGGGTAGTCAGGAGGGAAGGGAGGTGGCATAGGGATCGGTGGTGCGGGAGGTAGGAGGTGAAACTGCGGCAGACGACACATGATGGATTAGCTTACAAATTGCGCAGCGCTCAGATGACTTCATGTGCATCTTCGCCCGACGTCCCCAAAGAGGGAGTGCGAGCGAAAATAAGGATTCATTTGTGATCACGGTGGGAGTGGTTGACGTGAGAGTTCAATTAAAAACACACAATGTTGTGAGATTGATTCAAAGTGAGCGCTTTAGTTTTTAAAGTGCATGGTTTACATCAGCGATTGATTTGATAATTGTAAAGACAAAAGTTCACTTAAAGAATTTCTACCCAATTAAAAATTTAAACCTTTCTCAAAAAAGTTTTCCTAACTGACATTATGATTAGTTTCGAAACCATTTATGGATTTATACGCAGCAACGTCTGAGACATTACCTTTTTATACCATGGGAAATATATCAAGAGTTAGATGAGAATTTTAATCTTTAATTTTGTTTGAGTCAAGAAAAATTATGTCGGCAACTGCACTGTTTCAATCTTTGACAATGTGCTGAGAGACTCACCATCGGGGGTCTGGCAGTGACTGGACCAAACGGACACGGTAAATTCATCTTATTCATCAGATGAAGTACCTGTACAATTGGTAATAAGAGTGTGAGTAAGGTGTCGTACAGTGACATTGCCTCAGTCTCGTACCAGGATTCTGACGGGTCCTGATAACATCAATCAACCGCAGTTGTCACAAAAAAAGAAAAAAAAAGCCGTCAACCCAGTCTGCTGCTGTGGAACAAATTGCACTGCTCCTGCATTTTCATTTAAAATATAAAGATCAATATGTAATTGATGCTAAAGCGAGATCCCTGGGGTGACAGGGAACTTCTTTGTGACGCAATAGCACCACCAAGAGGTGAAGGTGGGAAGTACTGTAGTTGAAAAACAAAAAAAAAAAGAACATGAAAGAGGACTCTAGAGAAAATGTTAAACTCATAACTCATGCCTTCTAGTTATGGGTTAATAAAACGGTGCTTCTCTAAATTTAATTTTAAAAGGAAAATGTTTGCCATTTGATCTTTGAAAGGTTGGATGTGGTTCAAATATCATTAAAAACACTTAGTCCCCAGCAGTATTTCAATTTTACACTGAAGGTCACGCAGCACCGTATTTTTTTTTTTACGTACAAATCTATATATAAAACTACGGCAAGTGATGATACACGAATACAAAGACATATAAAGAAAAATAAAACATCTGCATATCAATGGTGTGCAGCACTGGATGGGAATTTTACGACGTGAGAGAAACAGGAGTGACTCACCTGGACATAAAACTTTGGCACACTCATGAGAGCGTGTGTTATGTTTGCCAGAATGCTGTTAGAAGGAGGTGGGTATAAATATTTCAATGTGGGATTGGAGACTGAAATTTCAACCTGTGGCAGAGACAGAGAGAGAGAGAGACAAAAGACAGAATGACTTTATAATAAATAAATAAATAAATAAATAAAACTGTACACAACCCACGTCACATCACATGTTAAAACTTGAACAATACATCTACATCTGAGCAAAGTATTTTTCTAACAAATACGTTCTACAAATACGTACATGGAAACGTCATAGGTCGAGGACGTCATAAGCCGAGGCCCGTGTTCAAAACTATACTGAATCCTTATTATGTCTTTGTGTGGTGCTGTGAGTAGATTCTTGGTCTAAAATTGAGAAGCAAAGATTGATAAATAAAACTGTCGTTTTACCCAAGACTTGGCGCGACGCCGGTCTCTATGACAGGAGTGTTTGATTGAGGTGTCTCCTGTTTCCTCTTCACTTCTTTACTACTTTTTCCACTGTAAAAAAAGAAAATAAAAAACAAAGATGTGAATTAATGTGTGTTGGTGATAGAGCAGTGCCCTATCAATGACAACTTTCCATCTTAAAAGCAAACAACTTACCTGTCTGACACCGGTGGATCTTTCAATACTGTCAAATTATCCTGACCTTTTGCAAACTCGACAACGAGTGTGTGACCAAGGATCTCTAACTGGTGGAGTCTGGTTAGAGCCTAAAAAGGAGTCGGGAGTTTTAACAGCAAATCAAATGCATTAGCAGATCTCTGTATGTATACATGTCCACTGTGTAAAACAGATTTTATTTAAAGAAAATTGTAACGCACTCACATTCGATGCAGACTTCTCACTTTTAAATGTTGCCAAGGCTTTATGTTTCTGTGAAAAGTACAATATATACAGAATACATATTAGCAGCTCAGTCCAGATCACTGAAAGTTGTCATTGCACTAAAACATACCATAGAACCCCTGTGGACTCTGACTGATTCTGCTCCAAAGTACTTCAGCAGGTCAACCTTCTCATCCTGGCTGAGATCCTCCGGTAAGTGGCGGACAAGCAGCGTTTTAGTCTTTTGTGCTTTGACCACATTTTCACTCTCGTCTTGGTCCCTGTAGGAACGAAAACACAGTGTTAAGAGTAGAGGTCTGTACTTGTCAGTGAAAACACTTTTTTTTTTTTTAAATATGTATGAAAAACAATATCAAAACATGACTCTTAGGTTTGACAAAAGCGTTAAATAAGTTAAAATAAATTAAAAGCTCTAATTAACAATACTTTACTGTAGTAGTAACAACAGTTGTTTCTAAGCTCTAATTAACAATACTTTACTGTAACAACAATTGTTTCAACTGCAATACCCAGACATATTCCCCCAGTTGTTACAAAAATGATTGTGGATACTTACAAGACGAGAAATGTATATTTTAAAAATATATTTTTAAAATATAAACACACAACAACCTTAACATTTGAGTGTTAAAAACGTGACAACAGTTATATTCCCGTTGTTTAATTGTATCCTGTCTACATAGACTAAAATAACAGGGTCTTATCCGTGTTTTTAAGATATAAATGCCGAATAGAAGACTATACAAATGAACATTTATTCCTCGAGCAAACAAACCTTCGTTTTTCAATGAAGAATGGTCGCACACTTTAGCAGGTTAGCTTTAACTTTAGCAAAGCGCTAATTCAAACACACCGTTCCTGTCTTCGTTCAACGCCGTCAGCTTTAAATTAACCTTAAGCTGTTACTTTTAAAATACATCGAAGACAAGGAGTCAAATTAATTACACAACGAACACATTTACTTGCGAACTTACCCCATGTGGAAACAGTCAACAAACGAACACCAACAATATTCGGTCTTCTTCTGCTGGGTTTGCAAGTGATTTAAAAACGAACCTACAGGTACATTACTGCCATCTAGTGAAAGGGGGGTCCAGAACTAAACTGATACTAACGTAGAAAGGGATGAAAAGAAATAGAAAAAGTGAATATCTACATATTAAACGCAACAATTTAAACAACATAAAGGATTAAAATTAAATTCAGTCTTTTTTTATTCATTTATTTTTGGTAGTTTTTTTATTTAAATGTCCTTTCTTGTGTTGCGAGATTACCTTTTAAATCTACACAAAACACTTTCAGTAAACAGTTTTAGTGTGATATCAATGTTTACAAAAGCAACCATAAAGAAATGATAACTCGCCAGAGACGTGCAGTATTATGGGCATTTTAGGTTCATACACACCTGGGTAGATCCTGTTAGTCACCAGCAGGCGGCAGCATCATCATAGAAAATATCTGCCGCAACAGCAGCGACATCTTGAATATTTTATGAGGTCACAAAACCATATTAAACTAAAATTTAAGTTAATAAAAGTTGCAATGTGGTAATATTACGTGTTAGGTTGTATATCCCATCACGGAACCTATTTTTTTTAAAGTATGAGTTTATTTAAGAGATTACACAAAACAATTTATTTGTATAAGGAAAGATAATCTTTGAGGACAGGTGAGATTTAAACAAGTTTGTTTTTAACTACTTCCCTCCCCGTGCCCCTAAAGTATGCCTTTAACTTCCCATCCCTAGCCCTCAGAAATCCCCCTATATTTCTCAAGATGCTTCCAAATTCCTGGCCAAATGAATCCTTTCCTTTGAGGAGCAGTGCAAGGGCATTCCTCCTCAGGGGTACACAATGCCCCCTTTCACAGTGGCCTGGCTCTGAAATTTCACAGGTGATGGGAGGAACGCTGGACACCCGATCCTTCACCCTCACTCTGTAAACGATCAGACTGGAGCAGAGGTAAATGGAGAGAGAGAGAGAGCGAGAGATGCTCAGTGGGAGAAAGATGAAGGATGCAATGAGCAGGGTGTGAACGGAGGAGTGGCTCCATTCCTGTCAGAGAGAAATGTGAAAGGTTTAGGGCTGCTAACAGCTGATATGAGGTGTAAAATATTCAAATTTGGAATTCTCGGTTATCCTTTTAATCAGATCATCGTAAAAATACTGATCAGAATTAGAATTAACATTTCATCTGTTCCAGCTTGAAAATGTACACAAAGTCAGAGCAAATATTGCGTCGTCCCTACTGACATAACTGAGACTTCAAGAATTATCAATTAAATATATAAACCTGTATGTGACTATAAAACATAAAATTGAAAAGGACGGTGATCATCAACTGGCGGCTCGCGGGTCCAATCCGGTGTCCCAATCCATCCAAAACGGCCATCGACTCGTGTCATGTTTTAAACCGGTGATGACCCAAATGCAGGCTCAGACGACGTTAAGTGAAAAACAAGGATTTATTATTACAAACGATCTGACGACCAGTGGGAGAAAGGCCAGGGTTTTTATGCCGTCAGAGTGATGGGTTGATTGAAGGCAGGTGCTGAGGAACGGCAGGTGTGCTGATTAACCAGGCAGAGTCAGGGAAATGTGCCACGCCCACTACACAGACAGAGACAAGTGCACAACACAAGAATGGGGGAAAACGCGGGGAAACACAGGGAATGACAGTCATCGTGACAGTACCTCCCCCTCAACGGCCACCACCAGGAGGCCTACCAGGCTTGTCAGGATGCTTTCGATAGGAATCCCAGATTAGAGAGGGATCTAAAATAAGTTGACGAGAGTTCCAGCTCCTCTCCTCTGGGACATATCCCTCCCAGTCAACCAAGTACTGGAAGCCCCGGCCACTGCGCCGCACATCCAGCAGCTGCCGGACTGTAAAGGCAGGATGGTTGGTTGGGGAATGGCTGGAGGGCATAATGGACTGACAGAAACAGGTTTCAGCAGGGACACATGGAAAGTGGGGTGAATTCTCAAAGACAGTGGTAGCTTGAGCTTTACCACAGAGGGATTAATGATACTGACAATCTCATAGGGGCCAATGTAACGAGGGGAAAGCTTCCTAGAATCCATCTTTAAAGGAATGTCCTTAGCACAGAGCCAAACTTTCTGACCTGGTTGGTATTTGGGGGCTGGTGTCCGAAGGTGGTCTGCGTAATGACGATTGCAATCAACAGAACAACGTAGCGCAGAGTGGGCATCCTTCCAGAGCCTACGACATCAGCGAAGATGGGCCTGGACTGAGGGAACAGCAATCTCAGCCTCCTGGGCAGGAAACAGTGCTGCTAAGTAACACAGAGAGCATTCAAATGAGTCATACCTGTGGC